TCATGGTTACCCAGTGAGCACTGCCTGTCACCCTGCCTGACACGGCTTCCACAGGACAGCATAGCACTGCCAAGTATCTGCCACTTCATGGACAGAGTCACCTGCTGTGCCTGGTGCTGACCCTCCTTGCCCCATTTGTCTCTGGAGATTTGACAACCTGACTTGTTTTGGGAAGAGATGCAACATAATTTGCATGCATGTTACTGGTTAGCAGCATTTGTGTGGCAAAATTAGCTCATTGTTTTTAGTGTTTACTGAGTGTCCTCATCCCACGATTCTACCTTAAGACCATGCCTCCACTTCCCTTCCATGTGGTTGGCAGGAATCACGGAGCAGAGTTCATTCTGAAATGGTTAATCAACTGAAATTGTGGAATTTTACAAACTAATGTGTTTCAACTCTTTGGTACATTTCTAGCATTTTGTGTAATGTATCTGATATGAAGAAGCAAACTTTAAATACTTGAGTTTCATAAACTTCCAAATAATCACCTAAATCCAGATACTAATCCCTATCCATGGTTCTCAAACTTTAAAGGGTGTAAAAGTGACCTAGCAAACTTATTAAAAAGTGCGGCCTTCCATACTTCTTCCCAATAACCTGTCATCCCTGTGATTCTGATTCAAGGGATTTTTTTTTTTTTTTTTTGGCCACTTTGCCTGTGGGATCTTATTTCCCTGACCAGGGATCAAACCTGCACCCCCTGCAGTGGAAGCACGGAGTCTTAACCTCTGGACCACCAGAGAAGTCCCAAGGGATCTTTATTTTAACAAACACAATGGGTGATTCTGAGGTAGATGATCTGTGAACCACACTCTAAAAAAGAGTGCAAGCAAATATTTCAGCAAGGTCACCCTACTATTTGTCTATGGTGAAAGAAACAGCATTTTGCTCCATCCTCCTTCCTGCATCCTAACATAAATAAAAGCAAGCAGGCAACTAGCAGAAATTCCACAGTTCTAACCTCTTAGCTCTGCGCAGATTTCCCGTAGGGATGTAAGGGACAACCACACCATGCCTTGTCCTGTGCAAGAGTAGCTGATTCAGCTTGTTCCTTCTCATATGAGCACAAACACTCTGTATTAGGAAGGCCTTACATGGCTGTAAATGGGAGCGCATTAAATGACTGTATGCAAAAAAATGAATGAAATTGTGTTTAAAATTCTCAGAAAATTTGGCAGTTTGGGGCAACGAATAGGATGTGCTATGCAGACAAGAACGAGAAGCTAAGGCTTCTCAGCTTCAAGCCTAAGTAATAAGAAGCAGGACACTATTTATACAGGAAACTCAGGAAAGCCTGATTGGATGTGGCAACATGCTGTTTGTCTTTATGCATGAGTTAAAAGTACTAGCCTAAAAGAGGTCTTGACCTAAATAATAGGATAATAGAGGTCTTAAAGAAGAACTGGATAAGAGCTGTGGCTCTACATAGATATCATGTAACCTCTTACAGCTTCATTATTCAAGGAGGTAAAAAAAAAACCCCACGGTTCTAGGTACATAGAAGGAAAAGCATTTTGTCCTCAGTACGTTACTGCCTAAGGGGTCGACCAGGGCAAAATCTGGGGTCGAGGTTTCAATCTTGAGCCCAGGAAAAGGCTGGAGGTACAGACTAAAGGGAAAGCTTGTGGTCAAAGTCAGATTTTGCACTTAAAAAAAAAAGAAAGAAAAGGAACGAAGATAAAACCCCGTCTTAAAACAGGGAATCCAATAAAGCAGAAAATGATTATACAGAGACCGCAAAAGCAGATTGCACTGAACTAACGGCAGATCCCTGTTGGCTTCCTCTGTTGAAGCAACATTTTGTAGGAGAAATCTCTAAGATTTTTGCCTCCTTTTTGCTTCCTGAGGCAATGTATGGCTTATTAGGAATTTTATTTGCTTTTCATTTAAGTCTTAAGACTGATCACACACTGATTTGTGGGCTATGGATATGATGTAGCTTCCTGACTACCAAGAATCAGAGACCTGGAAACTATTATTAGCCACGAAGTTCCCAAAGGCCATCACAGGTAAAAACACTGATCGAGCTTCTGGGGAAAATGAACGGGAACATGATGGCAAGTTGTCAGCTGTAGAGAAGTGGATACAGGAGCTATGATTATTCCCAGCTATGGCATCCTCTGCTCCTATGATAATAGCAGCAGCTGACACATATATTGAGGGCTAACCCAGTACCAAGTCTTTTCATGAATTAACTCATTTAACTGACAACAAAACTATGAAATAGATTCCTCCAACCCCCTCAACAGGTGTCATACAAGTGAGGAAACTAGACTCAAAGTTTGAGTGACTTCTCAAAACCCACAGCTAATAAGGGTGGAGCTGGGAGTTTGCATCAAGGTAGTCTCTCTGGAGTTTTTGAGTTTTTGCATTTAGATTACCATGGTGACTGCCAAGAGTCTTAAACTCCCAGGCAAGCAACTGCTTGCCCCGGAGGCAAACCATTCTTTAGCAGAACAAGCTAGCAGAGCAGCTAAGGATGGGCCCGACAGGAGGAATCTTAAGCACAAGTCATTTTCAAAGAGCTTTAGAATTAGTGCCCTTTTTAAGAAGTGGATGTTCCTCTTTCCAGCCAATTTGAATAGAGTAGTTTCACAGTATTTCAAACAAAGCAATCCTTTGCAGATACTTCAGCAATCTTTGCAATGTATGTTCTGAACCACTGGAAATATAAGACCCAGTCATCAGATGATCATTATGGAGAAGCATATGCTCAATTGACAAACATTCGAAAATGAAAAACCAAAACCAAAATAATCCCCCCCAAAACCCAACCTTTTCATTATCCTGTTTTCTTAATTGATTTTTGTTAATATGAAATGGGTTGTATATGTGACTTATTTAAAATTATTTGGTTTTATTAGGAGTGCCTTTTAGGTGGACCACTCTGACTTTCATGTTTAAAAACCATTTTTTATTCAAATGTCTTACAGCCACCCTAATAGAACCCTAGGAAAGGAGTTCTATTATTATTCCCCATTTTAGATGAAGAAAACCAGACACAGAGAAATTGTGCAACTTAACCAACATCCCATAGCATCACAGTCTTTAGAATAGTAAAATTAGATAAATGTGGTGATAACAACAGACCAATTTGCTCTCCAAATCAAACTCTAAAATTCTAAAAAATGTAGAACAGGATTCTAAAAATGAGACTCACTTCTCTAAGTAAGAAAAATACAATCCCATAAGCTCATATCAGACACATGATTAACAAACACACTGATTTTTAAAAACTACTTGATTTTCTTTATCATAACTAGTAATATACAAGAATTTTATACATAATTTATTAAAAATAACTTTGAGAAATAGTATTTTTGACTGAGTAGTGATGAAACTATTGAAAAGATAAACTGATTATTGAATAAATTACCCAGTGTTAATTTTTAAAAGTAATTGTTATAAGCCAATCCTGTGAATTCAAAATAGGCATATTATTGGGCTTCCCTGGTGGCACAGTGGTTGAGAGTCCGCCTGCCGATGCAGGGGACACGGGTTCGTGCCCTGGTTCGGGATGATCCCACATGCCGCGGAGCGGCTGGGCCCGTGAGCCATGGCCGCTGGGCCTGCGCGTCCGGAGCCTGTGCTCCACAACGGGAGAGGCCACGATTTGAGATCTTCTAAAAAAAAAAAAAAAAAAAAAATAGGCATATTATTAACAATCCTAAATATCAGAAATACTTTTAAAATGTCCATATGGTTAGTATGGATAGAAAATTCATTGACTGAAATCAGCTGTGAAATGTAGCCTGGAATTTGGTTGCTATTAAGTTTAATTTTGTCTTATTATTTCAAAATTTAAATAGTTTGAACCAGTTCGACATTTGTTAAAAACTGTAATCTCAAAATATTAAAAAAAAAAAACTTTACAAACACATAGCTATAACTAGCCACCTCATCTAAAAAGCTATAAAAGTTATTCCTAGAGAGATTTCACAATCCCTGAATTGCAAAGCTTATTTCAAAAAACATCACTATTTTGCATTTATAAACTGTATCCTTGCAATAATGAACTGTAATTATACTATTTTATACTAAACATCCACACCCTAATTTTAATTACACTATTCCTTTAACATAAAATGTTGCATCAAATAAAAGCATGACATATTTCTACAGCTGAATGGCAAAAGTAAAGGGTCTTTGTTGAGGAGATAATGAAGCAATCACCAAAATAGTTGAAACCAAAAAATCGACATTACATTGATTTTAAGAAAAGCCAAGAATACAGGCGCTTACATAAAACAGAAACACAGAATAAGTCACTTTATAAGCGAGGAAAAAAGAGGCGGCTTTTAAAAATATTTAGATTCTCCAACCCGAATCGGAATTTTAAGAACAAAAAAGAAGAGAAAGAGAAAGAGAGAGATAGAGGGAAAAAGAGAGGGAGAGGGGGAAAGAGGGAAGACAGAGGGTGAGAGGCAGACAGAAGGGGTGGTGGGGAGTGGCAGGGACCAAAGACCAAAACCTTGCAGGAGTAAAAATACATTCTTCAGCATTTTTTAAATTTAAATTTTGCGGAGAAGGTGGGTAACAGAGGAAATGTAGATTCAGTGCCAGATTTCACAGAGAATACAACACAAAAACTAAAGTCCACCAAAATGGAATTATAATAACAGTCAGCGCTTAGTTGGGAATCTCCCTTTGCTTTATGAAGCAAGGTCATGTTACAAGACTGAAACAATAGCAAGAATGCAGTGTACACACTTTAGAATGTTTAGGAGAACAGTCTTCAAGCACCACACAAACAATTAATTTAGGTAACTGAAGATAATGTTAGAGCAAGACCTCTTCAATTTTCCATTTGGTTATACGCCAAGTAGTCTATGATATAGATGAGTTAATTACATATCATTGCACTATAAATTGGCTGCTGTCACTTATAGCCAAATGTAAACAATAATGCAGACTTTCTCAACTTGCCTATCTGCAGGTGTCCTTAGGTGGAAGACAAGTATTTAAAAACTATGGAAAAATCAGGAAATTTGTGTAGTTATTCACAGCATCCCTCTGTAAAAGCACATTTGGCGAAAGAGATCTCAACAAAATAAAGGGGAAAAGCCCCCAAAACAGCATCTTCTATTTTTAAAAAAATCCTGGCTTGTAATAATAATTTAAAAGAGACAATTAAAGCCACTGGCTTTTGTAGACTAAATAGAACACACTCATCTCTTCAGGCATGTTTCTGCTAGTGTCCTAAATTTGGGTTCCAAATGATCCAAAAATTCAAGCCCATCTTCTTCTTGTCGTTCACTGCAACAACCCAAAGAACCAGCCACCGATCCTTTTCCTTCATAGTTATACGTCCGGACGTAGTCTTGTGCATGCGTATGACTGTTATCCTGATTACACCGCTGGACCTTCTGCCAAGAGGAAAAACACAGCATATTTTATTACTATTTTAAACACCGAAACTTACTAGCATAAAAATAATTGCTTTGGTTTACCTTTCACTGTTTAATTTTTAATCAGAGTGTGTCCTCTAATGGATTCCTACATATAAAAAACACCCATGATTGGTCTATATCATCAATCATACCATCAATTCACTACATAGCATGTTTCTAAAAGTCACACATGTGGCAGCAAGTATACAAGTGTTCGTTTTAAGTAATCATTGCTTTCTCTTTCAAGATTATGGCTAATGTGAAATGCATCCCTTAAACTGAACCTGAATGCATGTGGGCTCAGAGCTTTCTATCTGGGCTATGCCTATCTGGGCTATGCCTCAGATAGGCATAGTGGCTGTGCAGGCTGGAATTGTCTTGGACCCCACTTTTGGCCTTTAAGACATGACTTGTCTGATGACAGTGGCACCAGAGAAATGGCAACACAAAGTCATGAGAAAAAGAATTTGAATATCATATGATTTCAGAAGCAATTGAAAAGCAAACAAAATGTGATGAAAAGTCAATATCCACTTAACATCTGGTCATAACTAAATCAAAATTAAGGAAAATCAAATTTCTTATTAGTAGGTTAATCATTAATTGAAAATAAAGATCAGGCCACTAAACTGTAATCATTTAGAAAGTTGAAAAAGAAGCAAAATAGATTTGTAGGTCACTTAGGGAAACCCACTTCACCAAGGCGGGGCTGAGTGTAGGTGTACCAATCGGAGTACGCGTATCTGCAGTTGTCTGCCTCTACTTGTCCTCCTCTGCAGGAATCCAGGGTGTGCTGTCCACCTCCCTTACACAATTCCAGGGTGTGATGATGCCCGGCCTCCTGGCAGGAATCAATGGTCTGCCCTCCTTTCACCATTTCAATGGTCTCCTGCCCTCCGTTTTTCACTCTGGATCCCAGGGTGCTGCAAATTCCCTGAGTGGAGCCTCCCGCAGTATGGGTTGTGAAGCCATTGGTGGAATACTGAAACGAAACAGTTGGCATTGGGGAAATACGGAAGAGAACAAAAAAATAAGAAGAGCAAATCATGCAGATAATGCTGTGACTTTTCATGCTAGAAGGTAAGCATCCTGAGGGCAGGAACTCCATCTGTCCTGGCAAATCCCAAGTACCCAACAACTACCGTAAGCCCGGTACTTCAAGTCGCGTCCAATACAAGAAGCAAACTACAGATGCCAAGTGGTCTGAGCCTTGAGACAAGTCAGAAAGGTTGACGTATACTCCTTCTTCAAAAACTTCTTACACTACTGTACAGCTTCATTGGTGAAATGCTCCCAGCATCTCACATCTCAAGATCAGGATTGTACACTACTGTCTCACATGGATCGACCCTGATTCCCTTCACCTGACTAGAACAGAAACAGAAATCATCATCAGTATTTTTATTTAGTGTCTAATTGAGTTCCCTTCAACTGAGACAAAATCAATAGAAATAAAAGTTGCTGTAAAAATCTTAGCAGCAATACTAAATCCGTGTGATCTAATTAAATACAAATAAATCAGCAGAGAAAATAAGAACACCAAAGCTCTGGCCACGAGTTTTCCATGTTACGTCTCTGTAGGAAACTCTAAGTTTTATTTTTTCAAATACCTTCCTAGATGTCAACATCCTTTTGTTTTCTAAATCCTTCCTGATCTAACCACCAGTTATGCTTTTTGTAGGGAATTTACTTGTTCCTCATCCACATGTTAGGCTGGAAAACAAAGCTGAAGCAGTGTAATCACCTGTTAGCATTACTGCTTCATATATTTGACTTCAGGCTCCTTTCTAACCTATGAGAGCCTGAAAGCCTCCATTAAAGTTCTTCCCACGATGATCGAAGCCTGTAGTCATTTTATTGCTGTTGCCAGAAAAAAAATTAAAACCATATGCTGATGATCTGTGAATAACTAAATGAAACATTTTTACACACAACCAGCAGCTTCAACATATAAAAAAGACTGGGTCTAACGTTGAAGCCATGACACCCTTGAAATAGAAAATAATAATGACATGCCGAAGGATTTTTACGATTAAGTAACACTATATGGCCGAATTGAAATGCCATATATCACCATAGGATCAATGTCATTTTATCTGTCCCCTGGGACTGATGACATTTTATACATTGTAAGTTACCTGATTTGAAAAGAACTTTGCCCAGAAAAGGTCATTATTGTTGGTTAGGCCAATTTATCGTCTGTATGTATTTTGAAAGGACAAACAATTTACCACTTTGTCATCGCCGGGAGCTTCAGTGTTTGATACAATGAGGTTCTGCTGGGCTAAATCATCAGGAAATACTTTTGGCTTTTTGGCTGCCCTGGTAGCCCCACAGACTAAGGTAAATAGGATACCTGGAGGATGAGAGAGATTTTCAGTTTATCGTAAAACAATGTTATGAATTTATGATGACAAATATGAAAACAACTTTCCAGAAAACATAAACATAATTGCTTGTGTCAAAGTAGCATCCAGTAGAAAAGTCTGCCCTAACCAGATATGCCACAAACAATGCTAAGTGCTGTATTTGTGTTGAATTTTATGTCTATGCTAATTAGGATAGCACTAAAATGATACCTAAATGCACTTTCAATAAATAAATTAAATATGTGTGTGTTAAATAGAAATGTAGCTCTATACAAATGAGCAGCCATAGATAACAGTGCTGATCCTAAGAACGTGTCCTGAAAGTTATTTTAAAAGCTATCATTTGAATTCATGAAAGGACTTACAAAATAGCAATGCTATGCCCAACAATATTGCAAGGATGGCCCACTTTCCAAGTATCAGTCCTCTGGCACTCCGCTCAGGCAAGCAGTCACTTTGGGTAACACAGTCACATAATATCACGATTAACTGAGTGACAAGTGATTGGCCAAGCCTATCTGTAACTCTGACAGGTACTGTATATCGTCCAAACTGGGGGTCATTCAGATAGGAAAGACGCGCTGCTGTATCTGAAAGGAAATAAAACCAAGCATTATAGAATGTCATTGATTTCTCCTGAGCATAAATAAGTAACTAGTGACAGAATATTCATATTTCCCTAC